GGCACAGGCACACTCTTATAATCCTAGATGCTTGGGAGGCTAAGGCAGGAGGATCACAAGTTCAAAGCCAGCTGCAGCAATTTAGCAACTTGCTACGTTAAGCAACTTAGCAAGACCCTGTTTCAGAACAAAAAATTTTATCCCCACAGCTGGGGATGTGGCTCAGTGGTTGAGCACTCCTGGGTTCAATCCATGGTACAAAAAAAAAGTAGAGATGTAAATTGACTTGATTATCCTAAGAAAAGTGCAAGGGAAAAGAGGGTGCCTGGTGTCTGGAAAGGGGGAACACCAGGCATCCACAGGGAACAGAAGATAGGGAGCTTGACTGGAGCAGGAACCAAAGGACTGATGCACAGACCTAGCAGCTATACCAAAGGACAGTTGTCAGTGTAGGTATATTTGGCCTTCCCATTACAGTAATGAGAGGACATGCCTGATGGCCTCTGGGGCACTCCAATAGTGGTGGGGGCTGATGTCTGGGCACAGGGACCTTCCTACCTACCTCCCTCAGTTGAATTAATTATTCAAGAAAGGCCATCCCCAAGGGCAGCAGGGAGTGCCCCTCCTTGCTTCCTCTTGATTTGCCCTTAAAGGTTCCCTTCTGACTACTGTTCTAATACACCATCTACTTTGGGACTTGGCAACATTGATAGTTTTCATGTGTGGCTAAAAGAGCTCATCTTACCACTTGAAATCCCAAATCCAGACCCTCCGACAACCCCCTGTGGCAAAGTTTGTATACTCACAGGACCCAGGGATCTATACCGGCTTGATTGACTTGCTCCTTCACCAGCTTTGGATCAATGAAAGCTGCAAGGACTGTTGCTTTAGTCTAGCAGATTTCTTACATGAGTGAAAACCCCAGAAGGCTCAGGAACCAGGGTGGTGTTTTTTTAAACCCATGTTTACTTTAAATTTCATAATGGACTGAAACATTTGGAATGCCAGCGAAAGCAAAGAAAAACTTGAAAAGCTATTTAGCTTTTCATTAGTAAACTAGAATACTAAAGCCTAACTCATAGGTAGTTATAAGGATTAAATTTGGGGAAAAAAAGATTAAATTGGATGTAAAGCATCTAAAAAGTGCCTCACCCATATATGGTGCAGATTTAAATAGGTACTAAAACACACCAAAAATATTTCTTCTAGACTGGCATGGCACATGCCTAGTAATCCAGCAATTCAGGAGACTGAGGAAGGAGGATTGCAAGTTAGAGGCCAGCCTAGGCAATTTACGGTGACCCTTTCTCAAAAAACAGAAAAAGGTCTGGGGATGTAGTTCAGGGTAGAGTATACCTAGGTCCAACCCCCCATACTACAAACAATGAAAAACTTACCTAAAGTAATATTAACAGCATGCAATAGCAATATAATACTGTTATAATAGGATGTTACTATTACTAAACTATGGTGAAATACACAGCAGGTCCTCTCTGCCTTGGGTTCTGTGTCCATGGATTCCACCAGCTGTGGATCAAAAATGTACTCAGGCTGTGTTGGTACTGAACATGAACAGTCTGTCCCCTCATCCATACAGTGTATTTACATAATATTTACATTGTAGGTATAAGTTGACATATTTTAAAGTATACAGCAGGATGTGCATAGGTTATACATAGCAAGCACAATGCTGTTTTATGTAAAGGACTTGAGCTTCTGTGGGATTTCGTATCTATGGGAGGTCCTGGTATTAATCCCTCACTGATACCAAGAGACAACTGTACTTTGATTCTATCCAATGAAGATAAAAGTTAGGATTTAGAATAAGTAGCTTAGGAAATTCAGAGTGCTTATTAATCAAAGAGGTGCAATTAAGACCAAACAGTGGGGCCGCTGGAGTTGTAGTTTAGTAGTAGAATGCTTGCCTTTCATGTGTTAGCCCCTGTGTTCAATCCCCAGTTCCACTACCAAAAAAAAAAAGAGATGAGATACCACTTGAACACCAAAATGGCAATATATAAATAACCCCAAAATACCAGGTGTCGGGATTGGCATAACTGGAACTTGTATTTATCACTGGTGCAGGCATGAAATGAAAAACAGCCTGATAAGTTTCTTACAAAATGAAACAACCTTAATATATGACCTAGTAATTCCCTTCCTGCAAGCAAATGTGCCTAGCAGCTTTATTCATAGTAACAGAACTTGGAAACAAACTAGGTGTGTAGCAATTTGATAAACACACTGTGATACATCTGTTCAATGGAATACTACTTAAATATATTAAAAAAGGAGTATATTCTTTTTTTTGTCCCATCAGTTTTATTGGTCATATATTCAGAATTCATTATATACACCTTTCAGAATAATGAGATATTACAAGAATAGTTTACAAGTCAGCTCTGATTGCACAAATACTTGACACAGGAAATCATTTTTACAAATAAGTTTTCTTAGAAGAATACCTTAATAAAGAAAATAAGTCTGTACATCTTATAGCACATTTTTATGTGTTTTCTTTCCTTCATTCAACCATCATTTTGGGTTTTCCATCACAGCATGTCTACCACAGTCAACAAACCAAATTACAGTCTGCAGCTGCTTCTCACTTTCAAATACTGAGATTTTCCTTTTCTAATATTTCCTTAAATATAAGAATTCATCCATTCAGGCTAGAAGAGGGAATTTAAACAACATTCCTTTGAAACAGAACTTGGATTGGGTTAATCACTAGGTTTGATGAATGATCTTTTAACTTCCCACCTAGGCGAGGCCAGCCAATAGTTTAAACCTGCTATACCAAGTCCTTACATTCCAAATAGTCCCAAAATTGCAAAAAGGAAACCCTAGAAATGAGTGAAATACAGATATTAAGACGTCTAAAATATTTGCTATTGATTAGAGAGCACCTTTAAATTAAGGTTCCTCTCAAGTTGAAGATGACAGAAAATAAAGTATAAAGGTGTGGCAGTAGTTGTATAAAATATTGAAAATCTGAAAAGGTTAATTGCTTAGGCCAGTGGTCTGTAATTTCCAGAATATGAGAGGATACAGAAATCTTGCCTCTGTAGCCATCTGAACTCAATATCTGACATTCTTCTTGTTGTGGCTTTGATACGGCCTAACAAATAGCCACTTACCCAGAGCAAGTGATCATGTAGGCCAGAGGAACTTTAGAGAATACTGACCTCGTTTATCCGAAGAGATGGATCCCACCAGGGGAAATGTGGCATTCACTCAATCCCTTCACTGTCCCTGAAAGTGTGTCCACTTGGCAAAACTTATTGTCTTACTTTTCAGGTAGCATGAATTAAGATCAGAATGAACGTTATCCTACAGTTAAGTTCCTGAGTGCTCAGCTCCAGTTATTCCATATCCTTAAGAGGATTCTTTCATCAAGCTCTTGTCCATTGAGAGATTTAACAGCACTGAGGGACCACAAAATGACCCATTTCTCTTCTTTATTTCTCTTTTTCACCCCAGTGTACAAGTTTTTACCAAAATGCTGCAGCAGTAGTTAAAAATGAGTTATTTTGTATTACCAAAAGTATTCAAACACATTATGATAGGTCACATTTGATTATAACTTGGAGATAGCCAAATAATGTTTATTGCAGTGATTTTGCAAATTCAGCCTAGTCAATGTATCCATCATTGTTCTTGTCATCTCTCAAGACACCATCTATTATGTAAATCAGTTCTTTGCTCATTAGTGGCACCTGTTCACTCTCTTCCTCCATATGGACATGATGGCTCTAGAGAGTTCTAAGCCATCAAGTAAATTATTTCCATCATAATCGTGTATTTTGAAATAATGGTGCTGCAGTTCTTGTGGGGACATCTCCGCCTATGGTTTGTTGATGACACCTTCCAGATGCTCCATGATATGCTCTTGGTCATGTACCATGTTCTTATCGAAGCCCAGGCTGCTCAGCCCTGGCATCTGAAGCACAAAAAGCCCAGAGCAGGCCATACAGGAAGGGGCCTCTGAGCAGATGCAGGGATCTCATGGTCACTGGTACCTTGATCCTAGGTCCCAGGTCCCAATCCCACCCCACTGCTGATGCCTGAGCATCTCCCAGTGACCCCCCAGAATATTAATTCTTGCGAGAACAATCCTGAGAATTTTGCTGCTGGGTGTGGTGATACAGGCCTATAATCCCAGTGACTCAGGAAGCTGAGGAAAGAGGATCTAGGCTAGTCTGGATAACAGTGAGACTGTCTTAAAAATTGGGGTGGGGGTGGGGGAGGAAGGGATTTGGGGCATAGCTTAGAAATAGAGCACCCTGGATTCAATCTTCAGTAGCACCAAAAAAACAAACAAAACAAAAAACCATTTTGAAAGAAGAAGCTGGAGAGAAGACTTACACTTTCTTAGGAAAGATTATATACTTTCCAATTCCATAATATTCTAGAAAAAGTGAACTATAGTCACAGAAGGCAGATCAGGTGTTGCCAGAGACTATAGATGAGGAAGAAGATTGACTAAAGGGTCACATTAGAAATAGTATGTATCTTCATTGTGTTTGTGGTTGTATAACTGCATACAGTTGTTGAATCTCATCAGATTATATACTTAAAATTAATATTTTTGTATGTAAGTAAAAATCTTTTTGTTTGTTTGTTTTTTGTTTGCAGTGCTGGGGACCAAGCCTAGGGCCTTGCTTGTGCCACGAACATCTGCTACTGAGCCACTAGCCCAATGCTGATTTAAGAAAAACTCTACAAGAGCTGGGCATAGTAGTGCACACCAGTAATCCTAGCAACTTGAGACTTTGAGGCAGGAAGATTGCAAGTTCAAGGCCAGCCTCAGCAACTTCGCAAAACTGTCTCTAAGTAAAAATAAAAAGGACTGGGAATATAGCTCAGTGACTATGCACCCCAGGTTAAATTCCCACTACTAAAAAATAAATTAAAAATAGTTTTTATTTTTATTTTTTATTTATTTATTTATTTATTTATTTTTTTAAAGAGAGAGTGAGAGAGGAGAGAGAGAGAGAGAGAGAATTTTTAATATTTATTTTTTAGTTCTCGGCGGACACAACATCTTTGTTGGTATGTGGTGCTGAGGATTGAACCCGGGCCGCATGCATGCCAGGCAAGCACGCTACCACTTGAGCCACATCCCCAGCCCCAGAAAAAAATAGTTTTTAAAAAGCACAAGGAGATACCATTCCATGAAACATACACAAAGACCACAATGAGATGGCACTAGAATAATTAAAGAGGCTGCAGAGACTAAATAAAATGTACAGCAGTTGAAGCTTGACACATGACTGGTGTGAATTATAAAATGGTTCAGAGCCCTGATCACTAGCCATTTATTACAAGGCTAACGTGTATCCACCTATGACTGTAATTTCACTGCTCGGTGCTCTAGTCCCCCTAAATGGGAAAAAAAATAGCAATCATATGCCCACCAAAATGTTTTCTGTAACTTGATAAAATCACACTGAACCAATGCCTCTCAACAGGAGATCAGGTAAACTGGGACCGAATACCACTTAAATACCACAAACTTCTGACTTATCAACAACATGGATGGATGAATCTTAAAAGCAAAGAATGACAGAAGCCAGATACAAAAGAGCACATATTGTATGCCTGCATCAAGTTCAAAACCAGAAACTAACCTTTGGATATTGAAGCCAGAACAATTCACTTGGGAATTAATAGTCTAATAAGAAAAGAGGAACCTGGGGTGGTGGCAGTGCTCCATTCTTGAGGTGGGTGTTGATCACATGGGCGATGCACTTGTAAAACACATTGAAATGAATATGTGAGACTTGCACATTTTTAGGATGGCATTTTTTTTAATTGAGGTAAAATTAACATACTTTAAACATCTTAAAGCAAATACTGTGGTATTCATTTTATTCATAGATTGGTAACTACAACTTCTACCTAATGCTAGAACATTTTCTTCAATCTGAGAGGAAACCCTATATCCATTAAATAGTCACTCATCTTCTCTTCTTCCCCTTACCCCTAGCAGCCACCAATCTTCTGTTTCTAGATTTACCTGTCCATATAAATGGAGTCATATAATATGGGACCTTTGTGTCTGGCTTATTTTACTTGGCATATTTTCAAGGTTCATTTACTTTGTAGCATGTATCAGCACTTCATTCCTTTTGATGGCTGAATAATATTCCATTGTAGTATATACCACAATTTGTTTATTCACTCATTCACTGATAAACACGTAGGCAATTTCCACCTGTTTTTTAAGGGTTTTGCTATGTTGCCCAAGCCAGACTAGAACTCTAAGCTAAAGGGATCCTCCTTGCCTCATCCTCCCATGTAGCTGGGACTATAGGCATATACCACCGCACCCTGCTAGTTCCACCTTTTTTTGGTTATTGTGAATAGTGCTGCTATGAACCTGTGTGTACATGTATTTGAGTACCTGTCTTCAATTCTTCTGGGTATTCTGTTAGTTTGCTAGAGTTACTATAAAAATACAGCAAATTGAGTGGTTTACAATATTAGAGAAATGTATTGCCTCACAGTTCTGGAAACTAGACACCCCAAATCTAGGTGTTGGCTGGATTGGTTCCTTCTGAGGGCCATGAGGAAGGATCTGTCTTTGGCATTTCTTATCTTATAGATGAACTATCACACTGATCTCTACCTTCATGTTCACACAGTCATCCTCCTCCCTGTGTGCATGTCTGTACAATTATTTATTTTTGTCATACTGGGGATTGAACCCAGGGTCACTCTACCACTGAACTACATCCACAGCCTTTATTTTATTTTATTTTATTTTGAGAGTATCTCCCTAAGTTACTGAGGCTGACCTTGAACTTACAATCCTCCTGCATCAGCCTCTTGAGTTACTGGAATTACAGGCATGCTCTGCCATATCCAGGCAGATTTTTCCTCTTATAAGGACATAGTCATAGAGGATTAAGGGCTCACCCTACTCCAGTATTACCTCATCTTAACTAATTATATTGAAAGGACTTTATTTCCAAAAAGTTCACGTCGGGGCTGGGGATGTGGCTCAAGCGGTAGCGCGCTCGCCTGGCATGCGTGCGGCCCGCATTCGATCCTCAGCACCACAGACCAACAAAGATGTTGTGTCCGCCAAGAACTAAAAAATAAATATTAAAAAAAATTCTCTCTCTCTCTCTCTCTCTTAAAATAAATAAATAAATAAATAACAAAAAGTTCACGTCATGCAGTACTGGGGGACCAGCACATAAATGTACTAACTGGGATAGGAGTTGGGGACAAATAATTCAATCCATCACAGGTAGGTATGTGAGAGTGGAGTTCCCAGGTTCATCAGTTCTTACTCTACAGTGGCACTGGCAGAGTCAGTCTTAGTGTTCAGCTCTCTGGCCATAACCATGATAACCCCTGGAGTGCATGCTCTTTGGCAAAGTAAAACTAAAATTTAAGACACATTTCTCTTTTTTTTTTTTTTTGAGGAGGGTAACAGACTCAAAATCAGGATTCAGCCAGGTATGATGGCATATATGTTTAATCCAGAGGCTCAGGAGGCTGAGACAGAAGGATCACAAGTTCAAAGACAGCCTCAGCAATGTCAAGGCACTAAGCAACTCAGTGAGACCCTGTCTCTAAATAAAATACAAAATAGGGCTGGGGATGTGGCTCAGTGGTTGAGTGCCCCTGAGTTCAAATCCCAGTACAAAAAAAATCAGGATTTATGGGCCCAGTAAGTGTTAAGAATCTTAATCATACCTGATAATAATCACAGAGATCAACAGCACTAATTATTCTTGCCCACTTTCCCCTACTGGAAGGGAAAAGGCCCATATCCTTGGAGATAAAAGAATGTTTTTTCTAGAATCCATCTCTATCCTAAACAAATGAACTTTCTAATGAGCTGTGACATGGACAAGAACTTTGGCATTGACAATCTCATCATGATATATTTCAGAAGTGAAATAGGAGTCATTGAAAGAAATATTATCAATAAAAGTACAGTTCTCTCTGTACAGTGGTTGCTTAAGCAAAACAAATAATTGTGCTTAAGCTATCATGTAGGAGTTTCTTTTTTTTTTTTTTAAAGAGAGTGAGAGAGGAGAGAGAGAGAGAATTTTTGATATTTATTTTTTAGTTCTCAGCGGACACAACATCTTTGTTGGTATGTGGTGCTGAGGATCGAACCCGGGCCGCACGCATGCCAGGCGAGCGCGCTACCGCTTGAGCCACATCCCCAGCCCCAGGAGTTTCTATTCTAGATTCAGACACTGTTCTCACTATAGATGCATACACTCATTCTTCCATAAAAATTCCTTCAATGTTGGTGTTGTCCAAAGTTACTGGATGGTGGCTATTATGAAGACAAACAGCAATAAGTGTTGGCGAGGACTTGGGGAAAAAGGTACACTCATACACTGCTGGTGGGATTGCAAATTGGTGCAGCCAATATGAAAAACAGTATGGAGATTTCTTGGAAAATTGGGACTGGAACCACCATTTGATCCAGCTATCCCTCTCCTTGGTCTATACTCAAAGAACTTAAAAACAGCATACTACAGGGACACAGCCATATTAATGTTGATAGTGAATTTGCTTTTTATACATTTTCTTTCACTGGGAATTATGAAATAGTATGTGTCTGAATAAAAACCTCTGCTAGTTCTCAAGTAGGGTTTCCAACATTATTCTTCAGGTATTTCGGGAGATGGAGGTGGGTCCCTTGGTTTTATTCTTAACCTCTTATTTGGTCTAGTGAGTATACTTCTGCCTGGGTCTAGCCAAACCACTCGCTTCATTTCTAGCACTAGCTTCACCCATTTGTGGTGCTACAACAGAACACCATGTTCATTTATAAAGAACAGGAGTTTCTTTCTCACTGTTCTGGAGGCTGGAAAGTCCAAGGTCAGGTATAAGAAGGTTTGTCTATCTGGTGAGGGCTGCATTCTTCAGAGGAGAGGAAGGCTGTGTCCTCACATGACAGAAAGTAGAAGATCAAGAAAATGAACTTCTGTTAAACCTCTTTAATCCCATTCAGGAGAGAGAAGCCCTCTTGGCCTGATCACCAAGTAAAGGGCCTGTCTCTTACTGTTTCATTTGCAACACTGAATTTTGGAGGGGACACACTGAAATAATAGCAAGTGCTGTACATTACTTTCGTATTTTTAGACCTTACTTTTTTGGGGGGGTGCAGGATACTAGGGATTGAAAGTAATGTACAGCACTTTCTTAATGAAACATTGTGAGCATTTGGCTAAAGCCCCTGCTCTTTCCACAGGAGGGCACAGCCTCAGGAGGACACATGGTGGGAGTATTTCATTTCATTCCCTTTTGGGAAAAAGATAAAAAATGGACCAGTGTTTTCTTTGTAGAAATTGAAGTCAGACACATGATGAAATATTTAGAAAAAAATATTTGATTACCAGCAGCCAGTTTCCCCTACTTGAAGAGTAGGGTTGTAAGTGCAGGGGTCTTTGAATTTGTTGCCTAATTTCAAGTGGTGGAATTAGGGGTGATTTTTGAAATATTGAAAATGTTTTGTTGTGTACTTAAATACTTTAGAAATCAATGAAAATATAAAATCACTACTACCAAGAGGCTTGGAAAGTTTTGGTTTAATTTTTAAAATTGCAAAAATGTATGAGTTGGTTGATAATTAAAAAAAAAACAAAACAAGGGCTGGGATGTAGTTCAGCGGTAGAGCGCTTGCCTGGCATGTGCAAGGCTCTGGGTTTGATATCCAGCACTGCAAAAATGAGAAAAAGATACTGGGTTAAGTGGTATTTACTTGTCATCCCTCCCCTCAGGAGCTTGTTGAAGCAGCAAGATCCCTTGACCCCAGGAGTTTGAGGCCAGCCTGGTCACATAGTGGGATCCATATCCAAGGAAAAAGAAGGAGAAGAAGAATGAATGAATTTGAAGAGCTTTATGTACTTCTATTACTCAATTTTTATGTACACTGTTTTATATTTATTAGATGTATTTTTTAAATTATGTATTTCCTGCATTGCCTGATATCACATCCCCTCCAACAGAGAGGAAGAAAGAAGTATGATGTATATGTAAAGATTTAATTGTTTTAATACATTATTATTGCTTTGGTAAAGTTCTGAGTTCTGTGAGGACCCAAATGACCTAGTTCATGGACAGCCAGGTATCACATTGGGAAACTAGTTTTTAGAAAGTTCAAAAGAAAATGTCCTCATGGCATTCTTTTGAATGAGCCACTTTGATAAAAACAAGATATTGTGTGTACATGTTACAAAATTCAGAGTCCATAGGTCATGCTGTGAAGATATGTCTGAGTTCTTTATCCTAGAGGCAGCTACTATCACAAATTACTTGTATACCTCCAGACATGCTCTGTGTCCATGCAGGCATTGGCCTAACTATTTGGTAGTCTACCATACAGTATTATGCATATTGAATTTTTCATTTAAAATACATATCTTGAAAATTGTGGCATATCATCATGTTTGGGGCTGAATTGTATAATTTTTTTTAATCTCCAAGTTATTTCAATGTATGGATTAACCACAACTCATTCCATTAGTCCCCTATTGCTTCCAATATTTTCTTTGTATGTACAAACAATGATATGTACAAATATCCTTCTATATTTGCATGCATGCATGTATACATGTACAATAAATCCCTAGTAGTAGGATTGCTTGTTCAAAAGACGAGTGTACCTAAAAGTTTGAAAACTCTGTAGCAATTTCATTTTGCTTTCCTACTCTGAACTTTAAGATGGTATCAAATTTGTTATTTTTTGCCAAACTTATAGGTGATAAAATTTTTAATGCAATTTTTATTTGTCTTTGTCTTACAATAAGGAAAGTTGAACATTTTTATATATGTTTAAGAGCCATAGACAGGGCTGGGTTGGAGCAAATCCTATGTAATTCCAGTGACTCTGGAGGCTGAGGCAGGAAGATCACAATTGGAGGCCAGCCTAAGAAACTTAGTGAGATCCTGTCTTAAAATTAAAAAAATAAGGGGCTGGGGCTGTAGCTCAGTGACAGAGTGCTTGCCTAGCATGTGTGAAGTCCAGAGTTCAATCCTCAGCCCTGCATAAAAATAAATTAATTAGTTAAATAAAGGTATTGTGTCCATCTACAACTAAATTTAAAAAAAAATTTAAAAAACCCTAGACTGATGGAAAGTAGATGATAAATATATATCAAATGCATGAAGGATAAAATATGAATAAAATATTAAATCAAACTAAATCCAAGACAATTAAGTATTTCTAATTTAATTTATTTTTAAAGTTATGTTGTGGGAATTAAACTCAGGACCTCATGCATGTTAGTCAAATACTTTACCATTGAGCTCCATCTCCAGCCCAGTGTCTCTAATTTATAAATGATGACATCCCTCAGGAATATATAGTAGCCATGAAGCTTTATGTACCTAACAACAGATCTTAAAAATATAAAACAAAAGCTGTTGCAAATACAAGAAAATTTGAAAAATCCACAATATAATATTTTTAGAATACTTGTACCTCTCTAGGAAATTAACTAATCATTTAGACAAAAATAAGTAAAGTTATAAAGGATTTTAAAGCAAAATTGATAAATTAATAAAGAGAGACTACATGTTTTTTAAAAATACACATGGACCAGGTACCGTGGTGCACAACTATATTCCAAGCTACTGGGAAGACTCAGCAGAAAGGTTGGAAGTTCAAGGCCAATCTGGCAATTTCGCAAGAATTTGTCCTAAAATAAAACATAGAATACACATGGAACATTTAGAAAAATAAGCAAGTTCTAGGCCATCAAAAACATTTCAGTAATTCTAAAGAGTAAAACATATGTATTGCCACCATAATGTAATAATAGTATAAATTAATATCAAGAGTGACCCCTTTCAAAACAATAAAACCCCCCAACTGTTCACATTTAAGTAAAATCACTTTCTATTTTACTCTTAGAGTAAGATGCAAATCACAAACTGAAAATAAATGTAGAAGGAAATGATACATTAAATCTTTTTGCATGCATCCAAACAGTATTTCATGAAAATGTACAGCATTAAATGCATTTGTTAGAAAATAAGAAAACTTTGGGCTGGAGTTGTGGCTCAGCAATAGATCGCTTGCCTAGCATGTGTGAGGCACTGGGTTTGATTCTCAGACTGCATATAAACAAATAAATGAATAAAGGTCCATCAATGACTGATAAAAATTTTAAAAAAAAGAAAAGAAGAAAACTTCATTAAGCAGTCAATTCTTTGAAAATATTTTTAAAATGTAAAATACCTGCTGGGTGCAGAGATATATACCTGTAATCCCTGCAGGAGTATTGATTGCAAGTTTGAAGCCAGCCTGAGCAAATTAACAAGACTCTATCTCTAAATAAAAAGGCTGGAGATGTAGCTCAGTAGTAGAGCATTTTCCTAGCATGTGCATGGGTTGTGGGTTCAATCCCCACCCCCACCCCACCCCACCCCCGAAAAAAACAAAGAAAGGAAGAAATGAATCCAGACATGGTGTAGGCTGGGTAGGGTAAAGGGAAGACTAATAAAGATAAAAGTAGAAAATGGATTTCAACTGTTGATACCAGAACTAACTTTCTGGGAATAACTTGACAAGCTGAATAAAATATGAAAAACTTTTGCTTGAAGACACCAGCATCAGAGAACAAACAAGGTAATGAAGAATTACCAACAATTATCAGAAAAATCCAGAGATAAATCAGGCATCTGGGAGAACTTTTCTATCTGTAGTATTTCCCATTTTCAGAAGAGGAAGCTGAGGGCAAGAACCTCTTAGGTGGGGTGAAGAAAAGCTGGAATCCAGGATCTCTAATATTTGAACTTAGGGTGGGACCCAGAAGGATGAAGGACTGAAGCCTCCCTCAGCTTTTTTAAAGCATCGCAGGCCTGAAACTACACCAAGGGGTCCTGGATTGCAGTACCTTCAGACAACTGTCTGAAGCAGAAGTTAAGTCTTCCCCCAAGGAAAACGAAGTTACCTTAAATCTCAGGTAATTTCTACTAGAAACTTGAGATGTGGTGCTGAAGATCTAACCCAGTGCCTGGCACATGTAAGGCAAGCACTCTACCACTGAGCTCCAGCCCCAGCCCCTTGAATTATATTTTTTAGCATACAATCAAAAGTAACCAGGCCTGGAAGAAATATGGTCATGTGAACAAAAATCCCCAGAAATGACGGACAATACAAATGGTCTTACGTGGATTCCGGATATTGGAGTTATTGGTCATAATTCTTAAAACAACTGTGTTTACAAAATTAAAGGAGATATAAAAGAGAAAATTAGGAATCTTGCCCTAAAACTGAGACTATAAAAAAGGACATAGGCTTTAACAAACTAATCTAAATTGAAAACTGAAAAAATACAAAAATGGAAATTAAGAATTCAAAGGATATGTATTTAAAAGCTGGGAGAAAGGATTTTGAATGTTTTTGCCATAAAGAAATGATAGATATTTGAGGAGATATGCTACCCTGATTTAAACATTACACAACATATACATGTATCAAGACATCACATAGGACATACGTATAATTTTTTAAAATTTTTCTTAGTTGTTAATGGACTTTATTTATTTATGTAAGGTGCTGAGAATTGAACCCAGTGCCTCACAAAAGTTAGGCTAGTGCTCTACCACTGAGCCACAGCCTCTGCCCTAATTTTTATGTTTATTTCTTTACTTATTTTTATTTTGGGACAGGGTCTTGCTAAGTTACCCAGGCCATCCTTGAACTTGCAATCCTCCTGCATCAGACTCCCAGGTAACAAATATATTCTACAGCATCCAGCTAACAGGTACAATTCTTATATTTTTTATGCATCAGTTAACAATTAATTAATATTTAAAAAGAATTAAATGAATATTGTCTCATGCCCCAAATCCCAGCTACCAGGGAATCTGAGGCAGGAAGATCACAAGTTAGAGGCCAGTCTCTGCAACTTATTGAGACCCTGTCTCAAAAATTTTAAAAAATTTTAAAAAGAAAAGAGGGCTGGGATTGTGGCTCAGTGGTAGAGTGCTCACCTAGAACGTATGAGGCCCTGGGTTCAATCCACAGCACCACATAAAAATAAATAAAAGTATTGTATCCAATTACAACTAAAATAAATAAAATATTTTTTTTTTTTAAAGAAAGAAAAAGGTCTGGGAATATAGCTCAATGGTAAAGTGCCCCTGGGTTCAATCCTCTGTACAGAAATCAATCAATCAATCAAAAAATTAATGAACTAGGGGCTGGGGATGTGGCTCAAGTGGTAGCGCACTCTCCTGGCATGCGTGTGGCCCGGGTTCGATCCTTAGCACCACATACAAACAGAGATGTTGTGTCCGCCGAAAACTAAAAAATAAATAAATAAATATTAAAAAATTTAAAAAAAATTAATGAACTAGAAGAGACAAAAGAAGAGAAAAGGGTTGGGGTGCAGCTCGGTGATAGAGTGCATACTTGGCATGTACAAAGCCCTGCATTAGATCTCTAGCACCACACACACATGTACACACAAAAATAATAATCATGATAAATAAAGAAGACACAGACACAGTGAAAAAGCTCTAACATAAGTATAGGTTGAGTCATAGAAGAAGAGAAAGAATAGGAAAAAGCAATGTTTATACAGAAAAAACTCCCAAAGCTGATGAAAGACGTTTAGTCACAAATTCAAGAAACTTAGCTGCTAGGCAGGCATTTTTAAGTGGAACCTGAAGAAGGCCCTTCAGAGAAATTTACAAGGAACCAGCCTAAATTCTAGAATCCTTTAACTCAACACCACCCCCCAAACCTCTCACCTGGGCCATAAGTAACCTGGGAATGGAACCCAGGGCCTTGCTCATGCTCTTGCTCTACCACTGGGTCAAATCCTCACCTTTTTATATTCATTCTTTTTAAGTGACCTAATATGTCTTTGCTCATCATAATACTAAAGTCTCTGCCCAGAGGTGTGACTGGGGGTGGGGGGGTTGCACTTTTTTTTTTTTTTTGTCAGTACTGGGGATTAAATCTAAGGATGCTCTATGTCTGAATTACATCCCCCTCTTTTCTTTTCTTCCCTCCCCCTCCTTCCCTCCCTCTCTCCTTCTCTCTTCCTTCCTTCCTTTCCTTTCCTTTCCTTCCTTCCTTCCTTCCTTCCTTTCTTCCTTCCTTCCTTCTGAAGTGGTCTCACTACATTGGCAAGCTGGCCTCCAATTTGCAGTCCTCCTGCCTAAGTCTCCCAAGTTGCCAAATTGCAGAGTTCCTGACTACAGCATGTACCACCATACTCCCCCCTTTCTTTTTTGTATTAGAGATTGAACCCAGGGGTACCTAACCACTGGGTCAAATCTTAAGCCCTTTTTCTGTTTTTTATTTTGAGATAGGGTCTTGTTAAATTGCCCAGGCTGGCCTTGAACTTTCAATCCTCCTGCCTCAGCATCCTGAGTCACTGGGATTGCAGGAGGCACCTCCACATCTGGGGGCATGTTTTCTTTTAAATATGTAGTATGATCTCAAATTGAACACGCTAAACAATGTTCCCAGCTCTACAAGGGATGATGAATCTTTCCTATATGTGAAAATGTATAATTTTCCTTAGTAAAAAATCCCTTGCTTTCTAAAATTGTTTGGGTAGAACACTGCTTTGAGAGTTGTCTCTAACTCTGTCATTACTTGCTGCAAAAAGTCTTTGTTTATCCTTTTTTTTTCTCCTGGTTGTGCTTATTGGCTTTGCAACTCACCCCCGGGGTGAACTTGGGTTTCAAAACAATGCACCCTAGTATAAACAAAAAGTTTTCAACCAGTCACATCAACTGTCAGTCTAATTGTTTGAA